ATAAATAGATAAATAAATAAATAAATATATATATATATATATATATAAAATGTACCGTCAATTTTATATATTCTTATAATTGGTTATCTATATAATTTAGATCCGGCCGGACTCATTACATGCATATTTTATAGTTAACTTCAATATGGTCTGTCATTATTCATTTGATTAACAAATTAATAAAACGTAAATGTTATTCTAACATTAATGTTATATAGTTTAATAGAAAGAGCATTGATTAAAAGTAAAATGAATAATTTAATGAAATAAATATTAGAAGATAAAGATAATTCAATTTCTAATTATAATAAGTATCACAATAAAATTCAAGAATTTAATAAAAAAATGTTTAAAAATCTTTTGAAAAAATGTTTAAAAATCTTTTGAATTAATTCTTATAATAAAACAAAGCTATTATGCAGCTATATATATTGAGATTTGGTAATATAATACCTATACGTGTACCCATGTATAGAATTTTTTATTTATGAGAAACTACACTTATACCTAAACTTAGACAATAATTTGATAGACAAATACCTTACTTATTATAAATAATTTTTATGAATATTAATTGAACAGACTGGATTGTCAACCTGTAAAAAGTGTTTGGAGAAAACACCTTTCTGACATCTATATCCAAGTTGGGTAATTGGGTACCCCCTTAAAGTTTCTCTATAACCAATTAAATTTGCATATTGGGTTGTTTATAAGGCCATCATAAGGGCACGCATTCTGTGTAAGTAATGATTTGTTTTAGATATGAAGTATTGGCACAGTGGCACTTATATATGGTTGGATGGCTTAGCAAATCCCATCCATTAATTTCTCTAAATGGCCATTGGACGGTCCCTATTGTGACTTGCAACCTAATTGTGGGTTGGTTCAGTGACCACCTTAAGACACAACACAAAAGAGAATTGGTGGTGCGCTTATAATTAATTAAATGTGACATGCATATATGCCTTCTCAAATCTCAATACACGTGAGGTGACGGATTAGCTTGGTATATATTATTTCAAAGATATAGTTTTAGGATCGTTGAGATATATAGTATATATTAGTTAATAACGATCATCTTTTTCTATTGAACAACCACATTTCTAAACGCGTGTATTATTTTAAGTATTTTTCTTGATTGAAAATGTTGGAGACCATGAAGAGAAGTATATCATAAGTTATCTATATACAATTCCAAACCCGTCAACAAGAAAATTGTGGTGAAATTTCGGTATGACTTCCCTAGGACCACCCACAAATAATATATATATATATATCATCAAGACTTTATATAATTAAATTCTTTCCTCATAGAATAATGAACTTATATCTCTCTCTCTTAAAATTACTATAAGTTGACTAATGATTCGTATATATGGATATAATTACTTTTTTATATTTAAACTCATTTATTCTATTTTGTCAATTGATATCTCTTGAATTCTTTCTTATCACATCATTTATTACATATATAATTTTTTTCTATTTAATTCTTCCTTTTTATTGTTTATTTTTCTTCTTCTTTGATCTTCCTTTCCATTTTTATCTATAAGTGTATTTAGATAAAAAAAATTTAAAAGTACTTATAAAAAAAATGAAATTAATTTTTCATAAGTTAAAATCAATTTATACATAGGTTAATTTATAAAAATTATCTCATATTAACTTTTTTTAAAAAAAACTGACTTATATTCATTTTTCTTTCTTATTTTCTTATAACCGAAATTTTTATAAATAAGTATATCCAAGCTGTCTCTATATATGTATAGATCTTTCAAAATGGGTTGTAAGTTGGAAAAAATATATTTGAATACTTCAAATACTACTAAACACCCAGTAAGAGAGAGAAAAGAAAACACTTAAATTGGTATAAGGGATATAATTTGACAAGAGAAGAAAGGGATAAAATAAAAAATGTTAATAAAATATTTAAAATAAGATGATGTCCAGAAATCATTATTCTCGTAAGTATATGATAACTTATACGTACACCCAACTCTCACGTCATATGGATCACAAATACAAAACAAATCCTATCTAGCTCAGATTCAATATTCCAACTTTTAACCCTAATCTGTAATTAGTGGACTGACTTAGGGAATTGTTTTCTCTTGGAGTTTCAACGACTCAAAATTTTATTCCTTATCCGTACACCACACACAGGCAAAAGCAGAAAACTTTAACGAAAATGTGGCAAGTTAATTTTGATCAATTAGTATAAATTGAATCAACAAAGAGACACCCGATTATGTGATGTGTGTGTGGGGACATGAGGAAATATAATATGTACTTGTGTCTTTCCTTGTAATCAGAAAATGGATGCTCCATATGATATATTCCAATATTTTCATCTAATGATCGATCAATATACCTATCAATTTAATTTAATTAATTTCTACCCTCTAACTCTATATTGTTCTTTCCTAGTTTCTCGCACGAAGAACACATAGTCAGAGTCGTAGTTTTGGATAGTTGAATGCATAACTGCGACGGTCCAACCTTAAGTGCACGTAGTTCCTGCAATTCCCTCTTCAATCGTCTGTTCTCATCACTTAGATTTTGACAGTGCTTTTTCAAAAACTCCCGGTCCACTTCTGTCTGTTTCAGCTTCGTCCTGAAAATTATCATTATTTAATATAATTTATAAACGTTTCTCAAATTAAATTCTTAATTGCCACAGGTCGATCCATATAGTCAACACAATAAATTAACTATTAAATAAACAAATAAAACTGTAGAAAACTCTGTTTTAATTTCTTTTTTCTTTCTTTTTATCTCTACCCCTCCCCAAGATTAGGAGACAACCCAGATAATTATTTAAATCAAAGCAAAATTGATGAACAATAAGGTATTGAAACGGAAACTACACGATATAACACGTACCTTGCTCTTCGGTTCTGAAACCAAACTTCAACTTGTCTAGCCTTTAAATTCAATTGATCAGCAAGTGCTTGTTTCTGAACCTGCATGTGGAAATTAAAACCAAAACCAACGCATAAACTCCTCTTACCACGTCGTACGAAACAAAACTGATAAATTAACATGTATGATATATGTATGCAACAAAATAAATAATATGCCTTATATATATTAGTGACTTGCAGCGTGCAATTTAAATTATCATCCGTAAAATTAATTTATCGAAAATATTTCTAGAATATTATCCTATGGAATTTAATTATATACACGCAAACACACATAAGTATTTAGGAAAATATAGCAATTAAAATGAGAAAAAGGGTTGTTAAGAATGAATACCGGATTAAGAGTGCTATGTAGTTTGAAGCTGTTCTCAAGCATGGCTGATTGCTCCTTGGAAAGCCTCAGTTTCTTTCTGCAACCGCTGTTGTTGTTGTTGTTGCTGTTATCAGAATCGGTGCTCTTTTCATTGGGGTTATCAGAATCAATATTATGATTCACGTTCATGGCTTCTTCTTTTGGACAAAGCTCAAACGCTAGGTCAAGGCACTTCACAGGCTTGTTCTCTTTATGCTTAGCCCTTTTAGGAACATGCCCTCCCATTCCCAGTCCCAAACACAACCCAGTGATGCATTCTTCATCGTTTTCCATTGCACAGAGAGAGAGAGAGAGAAAGGGTAGAGAGAAGGAATTAGAGTTGTGTGAATTATAGTCAAATGGGAAAGTTGGGTTTTATGAAAGAGGTGGATTTAATACAGATTTTATTGTTGGGTTTGGTCTTGGGTCATAGAGATTCAATTTCAATATCAGTTATTATTGGGCTACTTGCCTTCATTAGAAAAAAAAAATGTGTATGTAGAATAATTATGGTACTAATTAATGACGACTCATGTATTAAATGTAATGATAAAAAAAAATGGGAGACGAGTAAAAGCATGCGTTATTAGGATTGTGACTCATTTTAGGAAACAAAAACTTTTCTAAATGATAATGGTATTATATATACTAATATATTATTGGTACATGATCATATTATACTAATATAATTTGACAAATTCATTTTTTTTTATGTGAATTCAAAGCCTGTTCGAGTCAGCTTCTTTCCCAGTACTTTCCTATGATTTGCGTTGTCTTGTCTTGACAGGTGGGTTCCAACAATATTCATGTTCATGCATCATTCCATGCGTTAAATTAAAACTGTTATAATTGGCCCAAAAGGCTGAAACACGTAACCAGAAAAATTAAACCAAAATAAACGAATGAACAATAAGAATAATGTGAAACTGTTAATCAGAAAAATTACTACCACGCTGTCAACATTCACAGATCATGAAGGCATGCGTTCCTGTTAATCTATTGGAACTATGAGTCTATGAGGGGCATTTTGGTAAAGTGGTTGGCATTAATTTGGAGTTAATGGTGTGGCAACTGAAAGGTTGACATAAACTAAATCACTACACGTTTTTTAAAACATAATTAATGCATGTTTAGAAAAGGATCTTCAGTATTGATTTTAAGTTTATGGCCTAGATAAAATCTAATTTGTTGATTTAAAATTAATGGTAAATATTCTTTCTATACATTCTTATTTTTACCAAAATGGAAATACACGACACATGGTTAAAGATTTGTTTTTTTTGTTAAACTGAGTAGTTATATGATTGCTATTTCCTGTAAAAATTAATAAATAAATTATTGCTATTTAGAATTATTCAGTAATTCAGTGTCATCTCCTTCTTACCATCATTTTTATCCATTAAAAAAAATATTCTGAATTTCATGTAGTCCCTTTTTTCATTTTATAACACGCTTCAAATCAAATTAATATTCTGAATTGCATTTTGTTACTATATTATATTCAGAATCTGGGTTTCCTAATTTCTAACTACGTAATTTAGTTCTATAATTTTAGTTTCATATATTTGTCACTAAAATTGTAATATTATAATTAAATTAAATAAATAACACAATAATTAGTTAATATAAATAATATTTGAATTAAATTTTATTTTTGTCTTGTTTTATCATATTTATGATATAAAAATTAAGATTAATAGTATAATTTATCTTAAATATTATTAAATAGTAATTATCATGTCAACGTTATAATAAATGGATGGTTATATTTAGTTGTAGAAGTAGAACTAAAACATTAGATTTTATGAAATAAAAAAATTAAAATCATAAATCAAAATTTGAAAACCAAAATCACGGATTGAATATTATATAAAGATTAAAATTATAATTTAATCCTAACTTTTATTTTATAAATAATTACTAATTTAAATAATATTTTTATTGTTTAAATGTATTTTTGATCTTTGTAAGTGAGTTTTGATTTTGGCTTTTGAAAACAAATATATATTTGTTTTAATCCCTCAAATATATTAAATATTACTTAAATTTTAATTCATATGCTCAAGTTTCACTCATTAATTAGTTATGTGTTTAATGAATGATCAAATAATTATATGAGACCCGTAATATCAAATCAACATGTGATTTTTATAAAAAAATATATATATATAAATCTTTAAAATATGTATATTATTTATGTAGGTTAAATTAGATATTAAGGATAAAAATAATAATTTCATATTTTAGAAGGATAAAAATTAAACAAAATATTTGTATAGAGACTATTTTTTTTTACTTGTTTTACAAAATCAAAAAAAAATTAAAATTTAAAAGGATGAAAAATAATTAAAATAAAAGTATAGGACACCAAAATCAAAACTAACTTATTTATGAGGAAAAGTTATATTTAAATCTTATTTATTTATTTTTTAATTAATGTTTACTTTTTTCAATCAATATTTAATATATATAAAAGTTAATATTAAACAATTTTAACTAGTTAAGTTAATTGTTTTTAAAATAAAATTTTATATTTTTATTTTTATTAATGATGAAATATCCCTTTACTTATTTTCGTTTCTTTTCTTCTAAAACATGTTTACAAATTATTTATACATCATATACCCATACAATGCAATATAAAATTTTACTTATGAAATACTATATTTGTTAGTTGTGTTTAGGAATGAGAGTAAATCGGATCTTAAATAAGGGTCTAAGGTTTGTTTTATTTAAAGTATATTTTAACTTGACTTATTTAATAAAAATTTAGATTTAGATTTTTATAAAAGTTTATTTATTTAAAAAAGTTGGACTTAGACTTATAAAAAAAAATATGTTAACTTGATAGATCAATTTATTTATCTATATGATACAAAAATAATATACATATTACATTATAAAAACATAATTAAATAAATATTTTTTTTATATAAAAATCCAATTATCAATATTTTTTACATTCCTTATTCATACAAAATCAAAAATAATAATTGTAACAATCATTTTCATAGTTGATTATTTAAAATACTTCAAACGAGATAAAGAAAATATTTAAAAATTTATTTTTATAAGATTATTTTCTTTCATTATAGTTTTGTATGTGTGTATGGGATATGCATGAGTTGTCCTTCAGATAATTTATTATTTTATTTTAAAATTTAAATTTTAATAATAATAGAGTAAATTATTTTTTATTATAATTTTTTTTTAAAAAAGACTCGCATGTGTATTTAAAGTATTTTAAGTTTAGCGTCGAAAAAGCTGACGCTATATTTAAAGAATAGCGTCAGCTTTTCTAACACTAAACTCAATTTAAATTTAGTGTTGAAAAAGATGACACTACATCTTAAAATAGAATTGGTTTTTTCGATAGTATTTCCGTCAACTATTAGTCGACCCTTATTTCTGCAGCTATTTTAGTGTTTTCTTGTAGTGGTGTTGCATGATTTCAGTTGATTTTGTGGTTGCATGTGTTATTTTAGCCTAATTTTAAGTCATATATGATGTATATGAAGTGTTGGAGGTCTTGCATGTCTTGGATTTTTTTAGTTTCAAGTGCTTGGGGTGATTTTCGTGATTTGCATTGTGTAGAAATTACAGTTATGTTGGAGTGCACTTTCGTGGTGTTGAGCACAATTCCAATCAAAGAGTCATGTCTCAATCACACTAGTTGTAAGATTAATGACACCAGGTGTGATAAGAGAAACTCGTCTCAGGTTGGGATAACGTCGAGCGTGGTTTGAATGGTGCCAAGCATGAGTATGGGAAGTCTTTCACTTGGTGACGCTACCGAGTGTGAATTAGACAAAGCCTTTATACTTCATATGAGGTCGAACGTGTGTTTTAACATGTCGAGCGTGAGGTCTCATGGGGTCTCCACCTTGATCACGCTGGACACAGTTTGAATGGCATCGAGAGTGAAAAAAGTAGAGAGTTCCTTGCCTCGATGGCACTGAGCGTGAGGTAGGTTGCGTTGGGCACATGATGCCTAAAGGAAGGACGTGTTTTTGGAATGTATGATGAACATTAGTAGATGTATGAGTTCTATGACATGTTATATGATATATGAGGACTATATCTATGTATGTTAATTAGATATGACATACATGGATGTTTGTATGGTGATAAATGATGATGAGCATATATATACTGTATATGTGTATGATATTGTTAATCTCTATGTGTATTGACTAGATGTGATGCATATAAAATCATAGATGATGTATGGTAAGGTGTGGATGTTGAGAATGTGGTATGACATTGAGGCATGTTGCTAACTTAGGACTTGAGGAGAGAAAATTGTTTTGAAAACTGAAGATCCCACATTGAAAGTCTTGGAGCGGTGCTCGAGTAGGCCACTGTTGGAAAATCCTAGCTCATTGAGTAGGAGTGTCCCTGGGAGTGGATTTTGAGGTATATGATATCTCTTATAGGTCCTGAGTTAGTGGTTGAGTAAGGTAAGAAGTTAAGAATTACAACTCTTAACCAAGTACCTGGAGAGCTTGTGTGATTCCTTGAGGATAGTTAGTGGCTAAATTTCGTATGTGACTTAGTAATGCATGTCAAGGTTGTGGTAAGATTATATCGAGTTGTAATATTCCTAACGGTGGAATCGAACTTTCTTAGTGTAAGTGACAAAAGTCGAGAAACTAGAAGGAGGGATTGTTATCCCATTTTGCTATGATCAAGTCGATGCTTCGAGAGCAAAAACTATTGGGTTTGGTTCGGTAGGGTGGAGTCACTTAGATTGCTCATGTTGTTAGGAGATCTTGATAGTTAATGCGTAATGATACATTAGTTGAAGTGTTTGCATATGATGTATGGTGTAGTGCGATCATGTACATTGATGAATGTCTTGTTTGACATGATTTGGATGAGATACACGTTTGCCTTAGAGTGTTTAGCTTCCATGTATGGTTATGATATGATGTAAGATTTAGAAATATTTCTATGCTTACATGTTTTCAAACTCTAACTTAGTCATCTATTTCCATTGTGGGTTGTATTGTGATGATTATACGTGTATGTGAGTAAATCAAGGATAGGTTCGAGGAGTTGTTACTAGCAGGTGTTGTGATTTTGTTGGTAATAGTGTTACTTCATGTAACTTGTATATGTGTGTTCAACCAACACTAGATTATATAATTTATCTTTGAAATTGTTGTATACACATGTATATAACTTATAATAGTACAATACTGAGACTTTTATATTCATATTTTATGTATGTTCATATATATGTTAGTTAAATGTTTATAATTTTAGTAAACTAGTTTCCCTATTAATAATAGTGATTTCATATGATATAACGACCATAACAAGTTGTTACAATTAGTTTTCAAGGTGGATATTCAAAAATTAAATATAAATTTTTTAAAAAATATTTATTACATAAA